TAGCTACGTCGCTGAGCGACCAACCCATTTGGTAGAAAGCGTCCAAGGAAAAGAAGCGACATTCGTATGAGCCACGTGCGCCTTGCAGCAAGGCCGTGTAGAGGTCTATTGACGCACGAGCCACATGCCTCGCCGATCTCACGCAACAATAACACTGCCGTTTCGCCTACGTACATCCGTCGGCGCTTTTCTCGTGTCGAGTGAATGGAGAGACTGCTTCGTGACTTCATGATGTTGGAAGACCGCAAGACTAGAAATCCGACAACCTCAGATGAAGCTATCAAAGCTGATCAAGTGCTGGTACGTCACGGCCAATCATCAACCGGGAAAAGGGGGCCACCTTGTTGCGAGTGGCACGATGCAGTGAGAGTTCCCCGTGGGTGGATTTTGCCTGTGGTCGGACCCAGTGCTGGGTCTACATTCATCAAGGTCTTGCACTCCACTGTTTAGCTGAGGAAGACGACCAGCAATTTGGTCAGCGGGGACGAGATTGAGAGGAGGTCGATATACAGTACATAGCGAGATAACAAACAGGTCGCGAGAGGGGAGGCGGCACTGTTGACTCCAAGGACTACGACAACGAAACAGCAAGTACACAAGTAGAGCAGTCATTTTGAAGTGCAGCAAGTGATTCTAGCCACCGGTCTTCTAAAGAGAAGAACCAAAAGACGCGAGGATAGCAACAAACCAGAGATCAGTCCATTATGACGATAGGTCTAGAAGCAAGATAGCATCATTACAACTACATTCCTCCGCCGGACAGCTGCATTATGGTACTCAACAGCTGCGCACTCCACTTTCACCTTGAACTTCGCTGCGAGATTTTCTTTCCGCATAGTCCAGTGGCGACCTCCCCACCAGAACCGGGTAGACTTCTTTCTTCTAAATCTTAGCCTAGGGGATAGCCTCGGAGGACGGCAGTCTGATTGAACATACCAACTCGGCTCTAGATTTAGGAAAATGGTGCTCAGAGGAAGACGTGTACTCATAGTGCCTGCTTTTGAAGCGGACTTGAACGTACACGTCGGCTCCATATCGTCGTCGTATCTGCTCACAACGCCACATGATGTTTTTGACCGCTTTGTCGCAGTTCTCGTTGGTTCTATCCCTTTTCTTTGGCTGCTGCTGACGAGAAGCCATAATTTATTGGGTACGGATTGCGACAGTACTGTATTGTTGACGTACCATAAAGTAAAAAATGAGTCTGATTCATCATCATCTTGTCGTTTTACTCTGCCCAATGCATCCCTTTTCAAGCAAGCATACCGCACGAACGCGTTAGGCACCAGGTGGCAGTGGAGCCGCATCTGAGTCTATTCTGTGATCGCTAGTTTCCTAAACTATGTCGCAGCCTTTTTCTGAGGGCAGCCAAAACCGGCTTTTGATGCATCTGCTAGCGGGAAGAACGTGGAGTCACCACTTACGGATGTTAGCACGTAGCTTTGGACGCGGGTAGCCCGAATGACGGGATCCGACAGCTATCCGAGAGGTAGAACAGGAAGCCAGAACCGTTGGTTTAGTACCAATTGCATGTGCCAGACAATTATACGCACTTTGTTGCTGAACGGACAGAGCGTAGACAAAAACTCCACTTGAAGCACCACAATGATGAGCTTTTCGTTTCTGACCATACAGCGCAAAGAAGCTTGCCATCATTCGGAGGCGAGAGGGACTTTGATTGGAGCCGTCGACGAAAGCGGAAGAGGCATAACTCGGACTTTTTGTCGTCTGATGTGAGTTACACGGCTGCTGACATTGCTAACCAAGCTCATATATCCGCACTCATGGTGTTTGCACCGGCCATTTAGAAAAGGAAGAACTTATCTAGACAGCATATATACAGTATGCGCTGTATCGTATAAGTCAAAGATACAATCAAACAACGCATCGCATGACGACAGCCCGAGACTAGAAAAGATGAGCGGAAGGCACCAAAGATGACGCATAAGCTCGTGCTGGCACACATACAAATTGACTAGCCAGAAAATCTAATACCCTATCATTTATATATCCACCACGGATCGTACGGATGAGTTCTAAATCGGTGTGTATGTGATGCATCATGAGCCTGGCGCACCAGACTATGAGCCTTCGAGAAGCTAGACAGGATTCAACGATGATAAACATCTTCCCTTGTCACCTCAGTCGTGCGTGAAGTTGCTAGTGTCAGAATTCACATGTTGACGAGTCTGCGATCCGCACGAGAAGTTTGCATTTTCATATACGGGTCCATAGAATAGCCTTCCGCCAACCACTTGCTTTTGTCTTACTCTTCATGGCGCGCCTCGATGCGTGTTTATTATAAGGAGATCTGGCGATACAACTACAGCAACCACGATACCCTCATATGGTTGGTGAGTCTGGCCTGGGGATACCGCATTCAGCAGACCTCGCGTAAGGATCATTCGAATCCCAGTCGAAAGAATTAGTGGTAATCGCGCCATCGCGGCTGGCTGTCCTGAGATGGAGCGAGCGTTCTGTGGAGGCTTTCCCGTAGACGTGTGTCACTCTATACGAAGACATTGCCTCGCTAATCTTGGTCGGATGTCGAGCCGCTGCAGAGCAGACGGTGTTGATACCAGCCGTGATGTCAGGACACGCTATGCTAGTTGGAAAGCTTGTTCCCTGATGCGAATCGCCTTGTACAAACCCCTTTTCCTTCTTGATACTGTCGCTCTCCTCGTCGGAGTCGCAAAGGAGGAAGGTCGACACATGTTCTTGTGGAAGCCTCTGTCTGTGAGGCGTTTCACTTGATGAGGCGATTCTCAAAGGTGAGAATACTGAATGAAGCTTTGAACCCATGATGCGTGTAGACGGACCCTTTGCAACAAATGTTGACTGCGGCATGTTTGAGACCTACATGTCACAAGTGTGTACATACTGCTTTCTACTCACCACAAGCGACAGGCGAAGGAACGTGCTGTAGGAGCTGCATCTCATTACTCTAAAGAAAAAAAAGAAAAAACCCCTGTCGAGCGTGTCAGATGAGCATCATGTTTCAACCTAAATGATGAAGAGGTCTTGGTTGCGTTTCTAGGCAGACTAGCCGCAAAGGGTTTCCCAGCAATACCTGATGATTCGTATAGACAGGGTGTACATATATGGAGAAGCCCTGTTCGGATCACGAAAGGCCAGATCTAGATCTTACAGAGAGGGTATCAAGGAAGCAGGATCCTCGTCGTGTGGCTGGGGACAACGCCAGTTCCAACGTGGGATACGGCGCAGATTTTGAGTCATAAGCAACTTGGAACACAGGGTGTCCAGTAACATCAACGGTGTGTGGCTGGGGAGCATAGCTAAAACCGACGTCTGGTGAGAGCCAAAAGTGGATGCCATAGATGGGCTAGTCGGCAAGCGAGATCCTTGTTCTGACGCCAGAAACGACCTGCAACAACAAAGTGGCAGTACCTTTCCAGCTTAATTCCTGGATCTCGACCTCTGGGTATGTGGGTAGGAGTTGGAAACTGAATGCACAAGAGGAAGGCCTCTCGGTACATACAAAGGCCCTTGATCACGTTTCTGAGAATGCATAATTCCGGCTCACAGGCGTCGACACGAGTTGGTGGAAAGAGCCCGGTGTGAACTCCGCAGAAACGATGTGATGGTGCGTGCAAGCGTGCTGTTGCTTGCTGGAGGCTCCTGTAGCAGAAAGTCAGGCGTGTCCCAAAAAAACAATTTCCGGACACTAGATAATTGCAGCGTCAATCATACATACACTATGTTGTTTCCTCTTTACAACACATTTTATTTGTCTGGACTTGACCCACACAGTCTGGGCTCAATATCTTTCCTGTTTGCAAACCATCATAATCTGTATCAGGAGAATATGGCTACTGTGGAAGCCGATTATGGATACTTTCAAGGAGCTCTTGATCACGC